AGACGCTCGAACAATTCTATGTGAAATTTCTACATGGAAGAAAGAAAAACGTAGGAAGACATTCTAGCGCATGTCCTTTAGCAATCTGTAACACTGCGAAAGGCTCCCCCACACAGATTGTAATCCTATCCATTCATGGAATCCAGGTGCGGTTAGGCAAAAAAAAATCGCATCTTAATAAACCCATTAGAATTTCCACAATGAGACAAGAATAACACTAATAGCAATCAACGTTGAATAAGCCAATGAAGGAAAACTTGACTTGACACAATAGCACACTAGAGTTACCCACTGCCTGTGTACTGGAGCCGTTCCGAAACTGTTCCCAACCGCGAAGAAATCAAGAAATATCAAGGGAACTGCCATATACAGCGCCTTGCTAGAAGATGAAAACCACCCAACACATGCGAAAGCTGAACTTAGCTTAAAAGTAAATGGTAAAGTTCATTTTGCGGGCTGATATCTTAATGAGCCAGGTGGTTCGGCCGTTGTCCTACGAAAGCACTCACATTACTTTCGAAAAATCCAATTTGATTAGGCGGGGTAACTACAAGCGCCAGGTGAAATGGGAGTGAGAAAAACACTGAAAGGAGAAACTGTCTTATCGCGATGCTTGACCTTGGTAGAGAAAATGTCAATTGATATGCAAAAAAGGATTCAATGATCACCTCCATCTTGATAAGCGTCGGCATGTTCTCCTCGTCAGAATCGATATCAATACCCGTCAATGGCGATGGACGAGGCACTGGTGTCAGCTTCAAGTCCGAAAATGAAAGTTCTTCACGAAGTGCGGCTTTGCCGGCTGCCAGATGTCCTCTTGAAAAAAGAGCCGTGTAGAACAACAGAGCAAAAATTGCGGCAGATCGCGAGAAAGCGAATAAAGGTAAAAGGAAATATGGTTGTGGAACACTGACTCAGAAACTTACTTGAAACGTTTGACAGTCTTCTTCAACTCCTTCAGTTGTTGACTTTGCATCATTCGCAGAGTGTCACGAGCCTAGAATGAAATGCCTAGAATGAATCATGCACAACCGCAAATGGCAAACACAAAAAAGTTATTGCGAAAAATCCCATGTAAAGGGTTGCCGAAATGCCCATAAGAGAACCGATTCGTCTCAATAATAATTTATGTTACGTCACTTGAAATTCAAACGAGTCTCGAACTAAATGAATTCCTTAGACTTTTCCGAGATCACAGTATGACCAAATCACCAAACAACCAAAGAAAAACATAAAAATTGCACGCAATGGAAATTTCGAAGACCCCCATCTAGATGGCTACAACTGCTTACAGTCGTAAAAGTTGGATTTTACCGCTCGAGAAAATACGGATTTCACCAAAGTCTAGACCAAGAGAAGTCGTAACATTTTATATTCACGGAAACACTTTTAAGAGTTTTTGACCTTGTTTTTGTTTGTTAACTGCTGGCCGCAGTTCGCCTTGCGAATGTTTCACAACCCAGCATTCTTGTGAACTTTAAGAGTGACCTTAGAGGAAAAGTAGGACAGCGAGATGCGTAAGCAGTTCATTATCTCGTTCGTCCCTCTCGCTAGGCTACGCCCTAACGGCCTTCCCACAGACCTCCCAACATTTTGCGCGACTGCTCTAGTTACGCTAGCCGCCATAGTACTCTTCACAGCGATACTAACCTACAGAAATATCCGTGGTGGGCAGTTGCCCGCCGACTGATGCCACCGCGATTTTTTTGAATGGCACAGCGTAATTCCCACAATTATTTGGATCGACATCGGTACTAATCCCGCGCGCAAAGTCTAGAATGAATGCAAAATACAATATTACTCAAAAATTTCGAGTGAAAGCGATAAGCGCGATTCGACTGAAAGGATGTACGCGATCATACAATAAGCCACTTTATTGCCGGACCCGCCCCCCCCACCTCCCCCACCCCAGATCCGCTCTGATACAGGCGACTGGTGCGCACCTGACCTTTTCTACAAAATGTCTAATCGCGGAATCGCCGAATATCCTGAATCGTGAACTATGAACAGCGACTTACAACGCGAAACACTGAGAAATGTTAGAGATTCTAGAAAAAATATTACCTGTAGCGGACGATACTCGTTAATTAGATGATGCATATTTATGAAAATCGTTTGTATGTCGTTGATTTTCTCGTTCCTTTCGGGATGATCTGGGCAACGAACAAGAATGTCGAGCAGGTCAAGGAAAGCCACCACTACGCTCCTACAAACAAAATGAGATTGCTTTGAAGAGCAGCGGAAATTCATCCATGAAGATTGTTTGCCTACAGGAATTATGTCAAATCACATTTTCCTTCAGAATGGTGAACAACGCAGCACTTCTGATACTTCAAGGGAGAATTTGAAACCACTCTGCCAGTCCATGTGGTTAATGGTTATGCTAGTGTATCATCTATAAAATGAATGCAAAAAAAAACTCGAGAAGAACGAACGCAAGCACTTTGAAAATGAACAACATAGTTCTGACGCGCATGCGCGTCAGAATGTCCGATGCGGTGCAAAAAGTTCTGTACGCGCTTTGCGGTCAGCCTGTCGTCAACAGGTTTCCAAGAATAGTCGGCTGACAGTCGCCCTCCGTGCCTGACCATTAACAACTGATTTCGAATTCCAACAACACTTTTTGGGTCCAGCCGATTCGAAAACAATACACTTTCTTGAATAGCACGCACATGATCAGAGTCAAATCTCGCGACGAGTTCCGCTCACGATCAGTTCAACAAACTAATCTAACTAACCATCGTGATCAACCTATTTTGTTATCAGACTCGTATGAAGCCGAATGTGGCAACTTTACGAATTCCACGCCGACTCACTAAAGAAATCGCTTGAAATCTGCAAATAGTCTGAATCAAATTGGCCCTGAGAAGTGACACGTGAACTGCAAGGTCGACTGCTCCTGTATACGTTACTCGCCTTCCAAACAGTCATAGAGTTCAAACCCGCTAAGAGTCGTACTGGTGGATCCCAATGCTTTGCTCACTTTCTTCTTTTACGAACCCATGCTTACGACATAAGATTGACCCCTTAATTGATACCGCAAAGTTGCTATAGATAGATTCGACTCTATAGGATGTGTACAAGGTACGCCAATGCCATCCATCTATAGAAATGGAAAGCAACAGCAAAACAACCAACCTATTGAGCTTCTTCATCTCCGTCTTCCAGTCGTACTTAGCAGGATACAACTGCTTGATATTCTGCGAAGCTAATGACCTGAAAGTAATGGGTATAGAATGAACCACTCTTTTTATAAAAGTCGAAGTTGAATACAGTGAAATATAGCAGGTATTTGTAAAGCATTGTAGAAGTATTCTCCATCACAAAGAGCAAACAAAAACAACAGTTAAGTTATATGCTACAATGCCACTATTTGGCTTAACGTAATGATTTGGTCACCGATTAGGCAAACTTCGCGATGGAACTAACCATGAGCGAATGATTCACCTACTCTCTCTATAAAACATGCAAAGAAATACTAAAGAAGACTTTATCATGTTGACAAACCTGATGATATCATCTTCTAGGCGGTATTCTTCTCCGAATACTGTAAACACTGACTGCACTGGTGGAGGAGGAAGAACAGCACCTTGGCTAATTCTCTCAGTGGTATAGTGCTGAGCATAATCAGGAGGAGCAGGAAATGGACTGACAGCGAGAGCGCCAGCTGCCTGATTCATTTCTGCAAATGAGAATACAATGCTTGTCATGACGATAAGACGATTCCCGGACGCATTGAAAGGAAAGAATAAACAAACCGAACTATCTGCCAAATAAAATCACCGAAACACAGCAAGCGACTTCGTCCACTGCATCTTGTGTCGCGGCCGTGACCTCACTTAAGTCCTTCCTGGGGCCGCAAGTTATGCATCCCTAGTAAGGTATGCTCTCCCAGTAAACTCTCGGGGAAAGGCGATGCCACCGGTTCTCAGGGATGTCTCCCGGCCTGCACGTAAATCTCGGGGATATCTCCTCGATGTCCTCGGAGAGATATCCCCGAAAACCGGAGGCGTGGCCTTTCCCCGAGCTTTCGGAGAAGCATACCTTACGGCCCCTGATTGCGCCTCTCCATCTCTTCTTTAGGACTTCTCGCGCTCGCTTCCCCTTCCAAGTCCATGCTTTTCTTATCGGATGATCCTGTGGCCTCCTTAGCACGTGCCCTTCTCTTTTACTTGTAATCCACCTCCATGAATTAAAATGCATTCTATGGGGATATGCAGGGTGTCTCGTTCCCAGGTTACTCATATTTCTCATTAATAAGGGCAGTAGGATATGTACACACATTGTTTGGCCAAAATTGGAAATGTTAACTTTGTGCCTGAGGAGTGGTGGAAGGAACGCACGGAAAGTGACGTGAATTCACAGAAACACATTGTCTGCCATGGAAATACTGGTTGATTGGTGTTTTTTTTTTCGTGTCAGTATAAGATTGCTGTCGCTTGTGATTATTCTCGATCCGTCCCTGTTAATTGCTGCTGTGGCATTGTTTGCTATGTATTCATCAACGTTTGTTTAGACAATGGCGTGTGGACGTGATAGGTGCTACGGGTACTCTATACGAAGGTGAGAAGTTCTCCCTTCAGTTTCGATTCACGCAGCAGTATCCATTCAACTCGCCTGAGGTACGTTGGCTTATTTGAATCCTGTACTGTAATTTAATGTGATACGTGCCTTTCTTCAACTTTTGCACTCAACGCAGTAATTCTATTTTATTGAATTTTTACGCATGGTTGGCTAAATTTGCACTTGATATTCACTCCAGGCAAGTGCCTAACAACGTACTTTTTGCGTCACTTTCCTTTTCGAACAGTGATTCTCGAATCTAGTGCAGCAGCTCTCCATAGCGCTTGTACAACAACACCTTCCGTCCTTGGCGTATTAGGTTTGTTTAAATGTGTGAAAAACTACTCTGAGGACAGTGATACTCACTGACTTTGGGTAGATGGAATGGCTTAGTGAATCATGGGCCGATGCTGTGAAAAAATCGACATTCCCATCCTTTAAAGGAAGCGGTCGCGATAAATCCTATGGTGACGAGTGGGAAAGTTACATAGTGGAATGGGTACTACCCACTGAGCCGTGAGCTGTTGTTCAGTGGCAGTGGCGCCTTATCAGTGGTGTGATAAAGCGCCGGAACGAATTTCCGGAACTCATCACCATCCAATCTCAGACTTGGAATGGGTTGCAACGGCAGC